TCATGAGTCGCGTCTTGAACACGGGAACACCGTCGGCACAAGACAAGAACACAACGCAATCACCCACTAATGCAAGTATGGAAGGAGGTGGGAATCGACCACTCCGACCACCGCGGCCCCATTGTGTTGCCACGGCCAATGGATGGATTGTCGCATCGCTCGAGTGTCCTTCGCCCACCGCAGGAATTCTACGATTGTTGTCGAGATGGAATGTCCGGCGGGGCAGTAGTGCCGATCAATGGATGGCATTGCCTCCTCCCATTGCCATGGCGTCAACCGTATTTACGGGACGAATTCAACACGTTTTTGTCGATCCTACTGGATGTCATACCATTGTCAGTGCCAATAATGGAGAAGCCTATTATGTGCATTCCAGTTTAAGATTGCCACAAAAGTTACCAGGATTTGGACCCAATGCCGATGGATCACTGCCTCTTACATTGACGGGAATTCCTGCCACGGCCGGAACCAAAGTGGGAACGGGGGGATCATCTTCGACCACCAGCAATAATAACAATAACAACAATTCCAATGTCCAACAAGGATTGTCGCCAGGATCTTACGTGACGGCGGTCGCATGGGATCGAGAACGGGGCACGGAAGGATCCACCAAGAAAATATTACTGGGGACCAGTGAAGGAGAAATTTACGAATATGCCCTCATTAGTCCCACGTCGGAAGATCAAGAAGAAGCCATGCCAGCGCCATTGCTCTTGCATCGATTGCGGACATCAGATGAAGCACCCGCCGCCGTCACGGGTCTGTATCTGGAACGACTGCGGACGGGGCTCTTGATTTTGGCCGCCACGTCCGGCCGGAATGTGCCGCGGACACGACTCTATACATTCTATTCCCCACACAATACATCCTTTCGCATGGCATTGGCCGATCAACAACACGCGACATTGGTGGATATACCAGGAGCGGTCGATTTTGCCAATTTGAGGCTTGCCAATGATCATTTTGGATTGCGAACCGCCATGGGAATCTATTACGGGACCATTGATCGATCGCAATCCAGCAATGTACTAGTCACGGGGGGACGCAGTATGATTGTCGATGCCGGGATACTCCCCTATGAAGATGTTGTCGGTCAAGATAGTGGAGCTACTACTGTCAGCAGTAGTAGTAGCAGTGCGAATAATCCCGCCGCCGCCATTTCGTCCTTGGCATTGACACCCCATCACATGATTCTATTGAGTGACAACAATAATAGTGCCGATGCCCATCATCCCAAACCACCGGAAGTGCGATTCATCAATCGCGTCGCGCAAAAGGTCATTCAAAAGGAACGCATGGATCTGCTCACGCAGCAATATCATCATAACAACAATACACCCACATCCTCTTCCTCCAATAACAACAGCAACAATCCCTTTGCGACATCGTCGGCATCCTCTTCGAGCAACAACAACAACAACTTGGAAGACAGCTCGCTGTGGCTGGGAGCTGGAGAGTTACTTATGGACATTCGGCGCGCGGATCAAGTTTGGTTGCGTCATGGACGATCCTTGATTCACATATCGTCCACACAGGAAGATAGGGATGTCTGGAAGTTCACACTGGCCAAATGCCTAGAAAAACCATCCCAAAAACAACAAGGACGAGCGCTCGCCAATACGGGTAGTAGTATGCCGTCCTTGTCACGATCCATCTCGGGGGCCGGGCCGCTATTGACCGAAGAAGAAAAGGCGCAAGAAGCACTTTTTGAGCAAGCCAAGAATTTATGTACCAATGCAGCCCAAAAGGCTGTCGTGACGGCGATTCGCGCCGAATATCATCTGTCCCAAGGACGTGCCGAGTTGGCATCCAAGTATTTGGCACAGTGTCCTCCCGCGTTGGCCCCCTTTGCCGATACGGCCATTCGACTGGCGCTTCCACGGTTGGGCATTGATGATCCACAGGGATATGGACATTCCGCGGCGGCCAAGGCAAGTCTGGCGTCGAGCGATGTCCCTCTCATTACCTATCTCAGTGACAAATTACGAGTCGCACAGATGAATCAGGATCGAATGACGTCCACCATGATTGGAGCCTGGTTGACAGAGTTGTACTTGCACGAACGGGGAGAGCAGGAACGAGGAAACAAGCGGGAAGATGCCCAGCTCAGCCAATTTCTCAACAATCTGCAAAATACCGATGCCAAGACCATTATGAGAATCTTGGCATCGCACGATGTCAGCGCCACGGAGTGCGCTTCGTATGCAGCTCAAAGTGGGGATATTGCCACGGCGGTGAATACGGCGCTTGCTGTTGGCTCGAGCAATCCATCGGTAAGACTGTCTGTCTTTGTTGGTGAACAATTGTTCAAGCGTTGAATTTTGCTTTTCTCATTCGAACAGTTGCAATGCTATTCTTTTTGATAGGCTGGTGCACAGAACGCACTTCGAATTTTGAATGCCGCCCCATTTGAGCTTGCCGAGCCCCTCTACTATCGCCATGCTTCCGCTCTCTTGGCAAGAGCTCCAGGGCTTGCCGGCAATAGTTTCCTAACTCGATACGCACAAGGGTTGGCCCCAACCAGGTTGCTGCCTTCCATTATGCACTATGAAAAGAAACGAAGTGAGCGCGCCAAGAAAATAGAAGAAAGTCGCAAAATTGCACAGGAGTTGACGGGCATGGGCGGCAGCGGTGGCGTCGTCGAAACCAAAGACGGGGATGACATGGACCATTCCAACAGAAAGGGCATATTGGATGCGGATGGTGCATCCGAGGCTGCTTTCGTCGATGATCCGCACGTGTCGATCAGGTATCTGGAAGGGGTGATCCAACAGGGATGCCGAAGTTCGGCCATTTTCAGCTTTCTCGTATCGCTCTTTGTAAAGCTGGAAGACGAAGAACCACTCCACAGGTTCCTCTCTATTCATGTTCCCACCACCACGACTTTCACCGATGCTGCCATGAGTGCCTTGATGTCCGTCGATCGTTCTCGTCCTCAGCAAATGATGGCTATTGGGGACGAGGAGTTTTCAACGCCTCTTGACATGAACTTTGCGCTTCGATCTGTGCTGGGAAGTAGTCGACACTTCCGATCTGCCATCAAACTTTATATGGGTTTCGGAATGAGGCAGCAAGCAGTAGAACTGGCGCTCAAGGTAGATCCGTCCTTGGCACGGGAACTAGCCCAGGACAGCACCGAGCTAGAAGAACGGAAGCGTCTGTGGCTCATGATTGCAAAGCACGCCGCGTCGAGTGGATCTCGTGGTGGGAAAGACGTCGTGTCAAAGGTAGTCTCCGTTCTGAGGGACTGCGGTCCTGAAGTTCTGAGCATCGAGGATGTCTTGCCGTTTCTGTGAGTACTTTTTGTCGGTGATTGTAAATCGTTTGTGGAGAATCGAATCTTCCGTGCTCAACTTTTCTGTGTCTTCAGGCCCGATTTTACTCAAATCGATCAAATTAAGGACGAAATATGCGAAGCGCTTACGGCGTATTCATCAAAGATCGAGGGTTACTTGAAGGAGATGAGCGAATGCGATCAAACTTGCAGCAATCTCAGGGAAGAAATCAAGCGACTTCGCAACTACAACATGACGCTCAAATCGGATGCTCGTTGCGCATTGACAAATCAAGTAGTGTTGACTTCTGGGGAGCCATTCTATGTATTTCCTTCGGGTTATGTTTTTGTTTCGAGTGCGTTGAAGGGACAAGTGATGCCATTCCTGAATGACAAACAGAAGTCCCGAGTGGCGGAGCTCGAGCAACAGCTAAAAACAATTCACTCCAAGAAATCTCTGAACGCTGAAGACGAAAGACAATCGAGGACATTGCAGACGGAGCTGGATGGTCTCATCGCGGCAGAGGTAAGAAAACGTTTTGTTTTTACGATCTTGTTGTGATCTTTATGATTGACCATGCCGGTGCCTTTCTTCAGTGCCCCTTGACGGGGTCCGTACTGGTCAACTCAATTGATATGCCGTTTGAAGATAGTGAAGAAATTGACGAAGAAATATTCTTTGGGAGGTCCCATAATTCAGAAAGACATGCGAAGGTTTGAGACGAGTTAAAGTATGATAATGCATGCTGTAACGAGCTGTCTGTACCGTACTCCTTTCACAATATTCTTTATTTTACACTCTAGAGATGCAATCTATGCTGTAGCAGTCCGCGCGTTGCCGTGCTTCTAGCTAGTAGTTTGCAGACATTCCCGGCACCAGCGCTGAGACAACGGCTTGTCGTGACGTTGCAGCTCCCACAAGGGTGAACAACAGTTGTTTGCTGTCTGCTTTCAGATGCAAACATATTGTGTTGTTTTCTGTTTCTGTCATGACACACATTACTCGATCCCCAGCCAGCGACATGAAAGCCCATAATTTTGTAGCAAATCCACCCGGGATAGCTTCGCCCTCGAAAAGTAGAGACGATGATTCCCCAACAGTTCTTCCCATCAAGTCTCCCGTTTCTTCGTCTTCCTGACCAGACATGGTAAAGCCAGTGTCAAAGGCAGACACTTTGGGGTCAAGTTTGATTGGGGGAACAGCACTGGGCATTCTGAACCAAAGGAAACGAAACGTGTCCAGGTCGCCCCATGAGTCTCGAAAGAAAACAAGTGGGCACGGTTGAAGGCCCAAGAGAGGAGATAGTTCCACGGCCTCAGCGGACAAGGACACGTTTTCGTATTCGACTTGATCGTCGTCAAAACCGGATCCCTTCTCCTTGGTAGAAACTTGAAAGTCGTCCTCGCCTTTCTGGCTGGCAACAGACGAAGTCGAATTGCGGCGTTTCATTTTAGTTCCACCGGACCCACCCACAAACTCTCCGATGTGTTTCTCTTCTCGGACGTTTCGAAACACGATCGTGGGATGAAGCACCACCTTCCCCGATGACACGTAATGCAGTGCTATCTCCCAAACTAGGCTGTCTTCAGCGCTGAACGGGTGTTTGTACGCTGACGAGGTGGAAACAACTGGAGCCGTTTCAAGCTGAAACGCTTCTGGAGAACCCAGAGAAGACACGAACTCCAACGATGCCGAATCCGTGCCTACTTCGTGCTGTTGGTATGCAACGCCAAGTCCCATTTGCAACCCTTCCGTGATCTCCACAGCGGTTGTGTTCCAGACCTGCAAAAATACTCGTATTCGGTATTCATCCTCGTTGTCATACCTCGGTGTTCTGGATATGGAATGGCCAAGGTATGCCGCTACAGGATCAGAACCAGAGGTAATGGAAGTCACGTTTCTACCCCACGCAGAGTTCTTTTCGCGACCTGGGCCATTGGTTCGGAACCTGAGTCCTCTTGCGTCGCGATTGTCAGGAAGGGGAGGAGTAGCGAGGCGGAGCCAATTTCTGGGTCTTGCTTTACAGGAAAAGAAAGCGTCTGCCACCGGGGCGGAATAAATTGTCGCGTCGACCCGAGCGGAAATGATCTGACGACTCAGCTGCATCAGGTACCCGTGCATGTACTCGTGGGTTGCGGCACCGTCCCTTTCCGCACCCTTGATGGTGGAACTTGATACCAAAGGCTTGATTTTGTATTTCATTGGCTGCATGACCAACTCCGAAGAGGGAATGCCATCTGAATTGTGGGACTTTGACTGGTAGAAGGCTTGTATTCTCGACGTGGCGGCATCACATAGTGGTCCCATTATGGGTCGAAGTGACTCATCCATGGGTTCATCGTCCAGCTTTCCTTCGAGAGATGCTACGGCCATTTGCACGATGGCTTGCGACTCTTGATTGGGTCCACATCTGCGCCGCCAATCGACAGCAGTCATGGCAATGTTTTCTACGCAGGCAACGCAAACACGGACGGTTTCCAACGCCAACTTTTTGATTGGATCTTTCTTCTTCTTTCCGTTTGCATCCACAGGCACAGTATGGAACTCCAGCAGCTTTGTCAGCAATCGCTTGGGGCTCACTGCCACAAGTAAGTCTCGTGCACTCGCCAAGTTAAGGGTCAGCGGAGGTGCCCTATCTGCGTTTCTTCGATTGTTGGCAGCTTCCAAGTTCCTCCTGATCGCAACATATCTGCTTTGAACCCATTGATCCACCCCCAATGTCAGAACGAACATTCGCATGTGATGTGATATTATTCCTTGCCTCAGATCCTTTTCAATAAAGTCGTCCACCAATGCAGCCACATCTTGGGCCATGACATCGTTGAGTGAGCCCATGAAGCTCCTATCCCGCAGCGAATTGTCAGCGTCATTCTGAGGAGAAACTGTTGTGGCGTCCCAGTGCGTCAAAAAGCTTGCAGATTCGATCATTTGATCCCACAACAGATGGGGAGGGCAGGCATTCGGCGTTAACTTGAATGTGACGGATGACATTGGATTCAATAGCCCCACAAAATGCAAAAACTCTTGTAGCAAACGAATATAGCTCGACTGTCCAGCAGTCAGCAACCCCAAATCTTCTTCGAGATACTCTGGCCGTCGTCCCCACCGTGCACACGGCGAAAATATTGACAAGGTAGTGAAGGCCAATCGCGTCCATTCCTCAACCTCCAAACTTGTAATGGCTTGTGACGAGTTGTTTTGTGGTGGCTGAATGACAGATCCATCGGGCGACACTCGAAATCTGCGACCGACTTCCCAGGCAACGGTTGTGAAGACGAGAAGAATTTCGTCTCGCATTCGTACAATGACAGGATTATCTTGCTCCTTGCAAATATTAACGACCGAAGCGGACGACAAGAATCTCTTCAAGTAGTAGCTGCGCTGTACAGTAGGGTGATTGTTCGGGTTGGGTTCTTTTTTGCTGCCATCCACGTCTACTGTAACTCCCAGTGGCCCATCCATGAATATGGACAGTGCCAACTCCGTAAAGAAGGCTATTCTGGCAGGTTTTCGATAGCACGCAAACGTTTCGGATGAGTCTGCTTCAAGGTTGGTTTGTGCATTGTCGGACTTGCTTTTGGACATTTGTAACAGTAGCCCGGGTGACGACACTCCATGTGGTACCATGATTGTAAAGGGCAGTGATGCCACTTCGTTGATCATACTTTCCAACAGAGGTGCTCGTTCGGGCAGTGGCAATGCCCGCAGTGCAATCAGGAGTGTCGCCAATGTTCCTACTTTGGATTCTAGCATTCCCGTCGACGAATTTTCTTCCCGCAACACCACAATGGCCCATCGACAAATTTCCAAAACCCAGCTGGCTGTAGGACAGGCATTGGCGAGCCTCAGTCCACAGAGAGCAGCTGTATGGGCCAAATCACCATCCAAACAGCCTTGCATGGATGGTAGCAGCAGTGCCGTTACGACATCATTGACCAATCCCATGCAATCCAGATCGACCCATCGTTTGGCAAAGGTCGATCGGTTGACATCGTACGTGCTGGCAGCATTGGTGCGTAGCTGATGGATCAAACAAGCGGTGACAAAGGGCAATGTCATTCGATGGTGATGACTGGCATTGTAGTGCACAATTCGTGTCACTAGCTGTAATAATCTCGGTGCCATGATATTGGGAAAGATGCGACTTTGTAGTTCGAGTTGTGCGACACTGGGATCTTCTTCCAGTGTAGTGGGACAATGCAACAAGACACTCCGTAAGGAGGGTGCATACGGTGCTGTTCGAGCAAATGCCATGGATTGTATTTCTTGCAGTAATTCATCGTCGACAATGGTTGCCGCGTGGGCGTTGGAGGTTGCCAACGTCAGTGTTCCCAGACACTCGACAGCGGTTGCCGACACCCCGTCATCTCCGTCATCCAGTGCCACGTTGAGCAACGCTGTCGGTACTTCACTTCCCACTTCATCTTCTACCAGATTGACGGGTGATTCTCGGAGCGCAAATAGTACGGGAGAGTGTCGAATATGTGCATAGGCAGTTCTGCCCCCCAGAGCCAATGTTTGACACGCGAGGATGCGACATCTTCTGTCTTTGTGTTCTTTGGTACAAGTGATGAGTGCCGAGAAGCAGTCCACTACAACTTTGGCATATGTTTTGTCATGAAACAGATGGGAGGATGCCACAGCATGGGCGTCATCTTGACCTGCCGAAGCTCCCACAAATTGTGTAATGTTCAAACAAGATCGCGCCACTTGGGCAAAGGCGGATCCGTCGTCTCGAATGGGTTTTAGATTTTTGTCGACAGATGGATCCGAAACAAAGGTGGCATGAGAGGGCATGGCCAAGGGGACAGCCGCATAGTATAGCTCTGCCGGTGTCAATTGTGGCTGACCGTCATCGTCGTTGTTTAGGTCACCGCCCATATTCATCCCGCGATCATCCTCAGTTGTTTTCCCACCACCACCAAGATTCGAAGCACTGGTGTCCAATTTGGTGTCGTTCGTGGCAGCACTGCTCTTGTTATTAGATGCATCCCCATTGGTGGTGATACCCAGAGTTCGGGAGGAGGTGGCATCTCGGCTCTTTTTGTCTTTTTTGGACGACTTTTCCCGTTTGCTGCTGGATTTGCTGCTCTTCTCCTTGCTGCTCATCTTAACGAAATCTCTTCACAAGTGCTTATTGTCGGTTCACTCCTACTATAGGTTGGCTTTTTATTTGGTGTGATGATGCTGATAATGATGAGGTGTGATCGCCCTCCTTTGGCATCCTAGCTAGGTCGATCTTTCACCACACAGCAAATTGGTCGACTAACGTCATGCGAGAAGCCTCTTTTCAAGTGGCTGCAGCGGAGGGTGGGCTGGATGCTTCCTGATGTAGAGCTAACTTGATGCTGGACAGTGAATGGGTAGAGCACTTCTTGTCCAAGGACAAAGGGGGTATCCTTGCTGCTGGTACCGGTAGCAGGGTAGCTTCAATGATGAGGTCAAGCTGTGCACTGTCCACAAGTCCAACAATCTTGCTTGTACTCAACAGCCATCAGAGTTGCGACCAAACTTTTGCCCACATTTTGCCCCAACTAATAAACGCACCACGACAGACGAGGACTGTCGCTCACGGTAGCTTGGGGCGATGGCAACGCAAGACCGCAAGACACAACTCACAGCATAGCACAGCGGCATCATGGCTCTACTAGCTAGCTAGCATCGTACCCGCTCCATTTGAGGGTTGTGTTAGCAATCTTGTATCCTACGGTACCGGTATCATGAAGACTGCAAACCGAGTGGATGAGCCGGAAACTTCTACCCTTGATTTTCTGAATCAAACCGATCTTTGGGTGAAGCAGATTCTACCCTTTCTTGGCATGGGCCATCATGCCTTTGTGGCACCAGTATGTCACAGAATGAAAGATCTCTACACAGAATACTGTGAATCTGTAGAGAATCCTCCAGGGACCAATGAGTATGATGACGAAGGAGTGCAGCGTTTGGCAACTGCTTACGTTACATTCTACAGTGCCATCTTCTGCTCCCTGTCCCGTGCAAAGTACTGGTACACCCACCACCACCAAGCTGGCTGTGGTGGACAGGTCGTTGGGCGTCGTTCTGGTAACAGAGTCTGTGCTACAGCTGCAAGAGTTGGTAGTCTTCCGGTTCTAAAATGGGCCCTCGATAAGGGATTTCAATGGGGTCCTCAGACATGTGCTACTGCTGCTTCCCATGGTCATTTGGACATCCTCAAATATGCCCATGAAAACAACTGTCCTTGGGATGAAGGCACATGCGAAGATGCTGCTCGAAAAGGTCATTTTGGAATCTTGAAATATGCCCATGAAAATGGCTGTCCTTGGGATTGGCAAACATGTTCCCGGGCCGCTTTGAATGGCCATTTGGATATCCTCAAATATGCCCACAAAAAGGGATGTCTCTGGAATAAAGAAACATGCGTCGGTGCTGCTTTGAATGGCAATTTGGAAATCTTAAAGTACGCCCATGAAAATGGCTGTCCTTGGAGTAAACGCACATGTTCCTATGCTGCTTTGAATGGCAATTTGGAAGTCTTAAAGTACGCCCATGAAAAGGGCTGCCCCTGGGACAAAAGCACATGTTACCATGCTGCTTCAAATGGACACTTGGAAATCCTGAAATATGCACATGAGAATGGCTGTTCATGGCATGAAGATACATGCAACGCGGCTGCCAAAAATGGCCATTTGGAAGTCTTGAAATATGCCTATGAAAATGCTGTCCGTGGAATGCAGGGGTATGTTGTGAAGCTGCCCAAGATGGACATTTGGAAATCATCAAGTTTGCCCATGAAAACGGCTGTCCATGGGATGAATCAACTTGCTCATGGGCTGCTTTGAATGGTCATTTGGTCATCATCAAATTTAATATGCCCATGAAAATGGGTGTCCATGGGATGAGGAAACTTGTGCCAATGCGGCGACGAGTGGTCACTTTACATTATTAAAATGGGCTCGGGAGAACCAGTGCCCTTGGGGTCAATCCACATGTGCTGGTGCTGCTGCGGGTGGTTATTTGGAAATTCTAAAATGGGCACGTTGGAATGGATGTCCTTGGGGTTCGAGTGTATGTACCAATGCCGTTCTAAACGGACATTTTGACATTGTGCAATGGGCCAGGGAAAATCGTTGCCCAGGAATCAACTGGGACGGCGAGAGTGATTATGGTCGCTTTTGGTAGGAAGTGAGTACACCAGCTGGAAACTTTGACGTCATTGAGGCTGGCCCCTTTCATTTTGCCATTCCAATAGGTGAACGTGGATCTCTCGTCAATCCACACCAATTTGTTACGATGGAAGTGTCAAGGTAGACTGGTTAAACAGCTCAGCCAAAGCGAGGGTGGAACTGAATCATTCTTTTTGATTAAAAGCTAGCATATAAATTGTCGTACAGGCATGAAAGTATATGTCAATAATTCCCTATTCCACCTTGCGTGCTGGTGGATTGCTTAACAGAGACGCCTTGTGATAGGTTCCTCACATCCAAACAGGCATGCCCATAGCTCCGCGCGCTGACCTGCAAATATACTGTTATGCTTGTTTGACCTTTGAAGTGGATGATGCTGTACATCCTCCGTGTTTCTTCTTTTTTGTGGAAATGGGCTCTGCCAAGAAACTACACCAGGCGAGTATTGTGAGCCATTCAAAACAATGCATGTTGAGACTGATCTCCATCCCAAAATGCAGCAGGATGATGGACCCCAGGGCCCACTTGCGGGTCGTTGCAGGCCACACCAGTATCGGAGCCAAGGTTTCAATGAGCAAGGCAGCCCACGTCATGCATTTGAGTGGTCCCATGTAGTTGAAGAGAATGTCAGGATTGAAGAATTTGCCATAAAAGTCATCATTGTGTACCATGAAAAAGAGTGATGTCCCCGCGGTCCAGTATTCACTCAACCACTTGACTCCTGCGGCGCCCAAGTACACGAGACAAATTTGGATTTGAAAGAGTCGAAAGGGCCAAATTGGGTAGGTTTCTTCTCCTTGTTCGTTTGGTGATTGTTGTTTTTGTTGTCGCATCCATCCCATAATAGTCAATCGATGAATGGGCATGGAGATCAAATGAAAACACCATACCCGAAACATGACATCTTGTCCATCAAAGAATATTGTTGTTTGATGTTGCAAGGTGACATGACTCAGCAAGACGCCCGCGGCATTAAACTTGGGAGCCACTCCCAATAGGAGTAGAACTGCTTGTATCACTCCAATCCAATGCAGTGTCCACAGAAACGTGTCGGTTTGCGGAAATAGCTGCAATGGGGTGTAAAGACCACGGGAATCCAACATGGATCGTTCCGCCTCGAGTGGAAGATATCCTTCCGAGGGGGAGAGGAACTCTTGCTGCAGTGAAGTGTCATCATTCGGATGATACGATAGAAGTTAGATCAATAGATATTATTAACAAACAAACGTGTCAATTTTGTGTGTGTTCCAAATAGGTTTCTGCTTACCAAATCCAGCGTCAACAATGCCTTGTCAAACAGGACCAACAAGGCATACGCAATCCGCATGCAAGAAGCCAACAAGATGCTGGATTCCCCCACGCGAGCGTGAAAAAACATATTCCACCAATAGAGCATCAGTGCCCATGGCGACGAAACGACGTCTGCCTGGGCTTGTAGTTGTTGCTGTAATGCTTCTAGCTGCGATTGTTGTAGGTCTATTTTGTGTGTTACATCACACACATCCGCTGCCACAGCCGAGATGTAGAGTGCCGTGCTGGGATTAGAAGCAATATCTTCCATCACTTTATTTCTGGGATGACTACTAGCTCTCGTCGTGTCGTCCTCAGGACAGTGAACCGTCTCCTCGTCCTTTTTTTCATCCTGATGGTGATACTGCAACTGATGTGGGGACAAGATACTTCTTTCTCTGGCAGATTCTGATCTCCTGGGACACAGATACACTTGGGAGGGAGAACTCCCATCATACCGGCCGACATAGATCTTGTGAGGTTGCCTCGATGTCATCTTCAACAGGTAGTTTTTTGTTTGCGACGAAGCAGCTGCATCCATGATGGCGGAGAAGTGACTTGGACTTGTTCCGCAAGGTCAATTTGTGAGTGTCCACGGTCCAAGGCGCTCCTCGGAACAGAGTTGGATACAACTCTCTAAGTATCTTTCAGTTGTTCTCGCGTGTTTCCCTAAGTACGATACTTATGATTCTCGACTCAACGTGCGCCAAAAGATCTCATTTTTCGTTTCTCGAAGATACCACTTTGTCGAAGAGTGCTTCATTTCCCTACTAGGAAAGGCCACGATGATCGACCCTGCCAATCCTCTCAGCGTCAGACTTCATCAGCCACGAACAGTCGCCACACAAGATGATTCTACTACTAGTACAAGAAAGGAACGGCGATGGCTATCCAACCTGTACATTTTCTGCGTGCTGACCATTATCCTCGTGGAAAGCATCCCCGACGTCCTCTTTCCGTCCCTGTGCCATAACTACCTATATCCATTGCATGAAACCGTCATTGCACCCCTGACCAGCACATTGGGGATTTGGCAAGTTCCTTGGACCATGTTTCACGAGCCCGACGATCGCAACGAAGCCTATGCGGCCATCATTCACTTTGCCAATCACACGCAACCCGCTCAATGGCGCAGTCCCAACTGGCGGGACATGACCTGGATCCAACGTGCACGACACGTACGCCAAATGGATTATTATGAAAAATTGGTCGAGCACGAATCTGCCTGGGAACCACTCGCTCGACAATTGGCACACCGACATGGGAGGGATAACGTGGAAGCAGTCGAATTGTTCTTTTTGTGGGAACTGGTAGCACGAACACCCAATCCAAAGGAACTGCCTTTCTGGGAACCCATTCGAGAATTGAACTTGATCGAGTCGGGAAGAGAACACATGTATACTTGGGTCAATGAGGAGGTTGTGGAGCGAAGTAAGCAAAAGTCGGAGCAACAAGGGGAACTGGGAACCACGCAACAAACGGTAGTGGAGCATTATTCTGTAAAGGACAGAAAAGTGGAATTAGATTCTGATTTTGTTGGTGAAAACGAAGAGGAGGAACTCGATGGTGAGCATGAACACTACTATGCAGATGATCTTAAAAATACCACGCCAATCGGTTAAAGTATTCATCGAATACAGAAAACACACAACGACAAACACAGACCTGCAATCTATTAATGGTTGCGTTACACCAATCCACTACGACAAAGTTTGATCTTCAAAGCTTCGAGTGTTGATTTTAAAAAAGCCTACACCAGTATCCATAACTATAGCATGTAGCATTCATCCGGAGGCAAATTTTAAAAAGCCCTACTTTTTGTTTCGTTTCTCGAGCACGAGCTTGACAAACTCGGGAAAGGTTTCAGCAGCCCGTCCCTCGACGCGGATCTTGGCAATGGACGACAGTGGAGTTGGGAAATCCTTGTTGAATTCAATAATGGTCACTCCTGCAGATGCAGCCTTCTCCGGGATGGATGCAGCGGGGTATACCACGGAACTCGTCCCGGCTACCAGCATGACGTCGCCTCGTTTCAAGCGCCGCAACATGCGCATTGCTTTGCCCCATTCATCCGGTGGAAGCGATTCCGTAAACAACGTGACATCCGGTCGAGCTCGTCCTCCACAGTCGTCGCATCGGGGTTGTTTGCTGGGATTTAATCTTTGCTGAGTTTTTGTGCATTCGCCTTCGGAGGCGTTGCCTTGTGAATTGTTGTTGTTGTCATCGGAATTGCTTTGCGACAAAATGTACTCGTTGGATAGTTTCTTGTCGCAAGACATGCACCGATACTTGAGCACCGATCCGTGGACTTCTGCCACTTGCTCATTGGTAGCGCCGGCTGCTTGATGTAGTCCATCCACGTTCATGGTAATATAGGAAAAATTGTCAAAAGATCCCTCCAATTCCTGCAATGCCAAGAGTCCCGCGTGCGGTTCGGCATCCACAATGGGGCCGTAAAAGTCCTTGACAAAACGGCTCCACACCAACGAGGGAGTCCATCTCCAACCAATTGGTGTCCCTCCCCAGAACAGAGCCAACGTGCCAAAGATTCCACTCCAGGCGCCGCTGTCGCCTCGAAAGGTACCAATTCCCGAATCGGCACTCATGCCAGCGCCTGTAAAGACCACGACATTGTTGGCTTTGGCCGTGGCCGCAACGGCCTGGGACATGGGCGAAACAAGGACCATTATCTTAATTTGTTTTTGTACATGTAGTCTGTAGCTAGACTCCAATACTCGCAGTAGAAGCGAGTGTGGTGTGGAGTGTGGACCATTGCAGGTCTTGAAGGGCTGCACTGGGGACTGGGGACTGGGAGAAGACCATGCTTATCCACGTTTCACTTGGGGCAACTGTGCCTTCATTGCACCAGCTTTCGGTCATTAATTATTGGTGACGATGGTTGTGGTACTAGTAGACACTAATGTACGACGTACGTATCGGTACCGGTGTGGGCCTCCCTGCGAGCATGTAGCTAGAGTACTAGTATGCACAGGACCAGAGACCCATCATCTTCTGAAACAATACCATTGGTCATGTTTATCCAGGTTGTAGTGACCATTACTTCGGGATGATGACTGTCTAGCTAGCTACGTTAGCTACCGGTAGCAACCAGTTGATCTACCGTACTCGAGTAATAGTACAAAAGTAGCTCATCCTCTGCCCGGCACCCGCTGGCGGGTTGATCATGAGTTGATGGATCTTGGCCAAGATCTGGGGCTTCTTTTCCTTGAAAGCACTGTACGACTGGTGCCAACGTGCCAACCGAAAAATAAGCACATAGCACTATTGCACCTGGAGGTGGTAACGACAATGTTGGGGAGATAGCAACCAACCAGCGGAGTCGCCATGTCGTTGGTGGTACCGGTGCGGAGTATAAAAATGAGAACGATCAATCGATTGACATTCCAATCATGAGCCAGTGGGACTGAGTCTCCTCAGCAGCGCAGTCGCGGGACGATGGCCTAACTTGCATCTTTGGCACAAATTGACAAATCAGGCAACTCCTACCGGTAGCTCAACAAACAAATCGGGAAGAGCCACTCATACTCTGAAGTACAAAAGCGAAGCAATCCAGGGAAGAGTTTATGGCATAGAAATAGGTCACCACAAAGACAAATTCTTACTATCCATCAGCTCACTCCGACTAACACTATCCAGCTATCCAGTCAAGGAAGAAGCCTGATGACGCAGTCGTCTCCAGAACCAACAAGCTACCTCTCACAATTTCATCCGCCATCCGTCTTCCAGCGAGCAATAGAATTGAGAAACAAAAAGATGCAGACTCCTCCTGTCCATTCTTCTGTTGCCCCTTCCAATGTGGAGCTCCCTGACGCCGTTCTCGGTAAGATGGAGCCAGGATTCCTGGTTTCGAAGGATGGTTCTCGTATCAACTTCAACACACAAGGTTTTCCAAAGTCGTCGGGAAAGTCCAAGGTGACTCAAACACGCAAGGCTGCTGCTAGTCGCAAAAGCACAAGGGGACTACGAAGGCTTTGCGCATTGCCAAGGGCTGGAAGTCGCCGTCGCGTGGGTATCGAAAACCCCGATGCTTCAGTCAAAGATAAGGAGAACAACCAGCCAGCAGTTCTCACGAAAAATACTTTGAACTCGCCCAAAAGGCCCAGTGGTACTGTCTCTGAAAGGCTTTCGCTTTCTCGCGAGTTGGACACCGTGTCTTTGAAGAGCAGCCATGAGGCTCGAACGTCCTACTCTGCCGGATATGATGCATCCTCCTGCTCGACCCAAACCACTGCAACCACCACTACCAACAAGAGTGCCTCGGGAAACCAACCGCTTTCGCGTGTTGGACTTTTGCTGTTGTCTTGTGTTGGTGCACACTCGGCGAAGAATCTCGTGAAAAATGAGAAGGCTGGCTTGATTCAAGCCGTCTTTCGGGGTTATCTCGGAAGATGCAAAGCCCTCGAGCTCAAGCTCCGTAGGCGCCTTGAGGAGATTGAACAAAGCAGAAGCGCCGAACTGCTGAAAATCTCCGAGTACAAACAGAATGCAATCAGCAGCTATTACGAAAAACTGTTCGTAAAGCCAGTTCGCAGCCAAGAGGAGCGCTGGCAAAAGGCGAGCGAAGAGCTGGCCTCCTTGCTTCCAAAGGTCAGGAGTGCTCGAGAGAGAAACACCAGGCTCCAGGAAGGACTGGCCCAATCGAAGGAAGACAACAAACAACTGGTACTTGCCAACTCTTCCGCACTCAGATCTGCATTCAGCGAAGAATTGAGGATCAATAAGATTGAGCGTTGCGGGTTACGGCTCCGTGAAGTAGCCAACTTGTACAAAGAGATTCTTCAAGACGGAAGGCAGCGCCTGCGAGAGTTCGAAGAGGAATCCGGACCAGCCAGGGCCGAGTTGGGCTAATCGAGATTAGACCTCAAGGAAATATACGAGAGGACGTCTCTCTTTGACGACACCAACAAATGTACTGTAAACGTAGAAATGAGCACGAGCTGGCTCTCCTCCAGGCAGGCATGCTTGTCCATGCATGTGAGTGGGCTGTTGTGTCCTAGCCAAGAAGCATAAGAATAGATAAAAATCCAGTTACTATGCATGTACTAAAACTTGGCTCTTGATGCCAAAAAGTTATGAATCGTCAACATTGAACTTTTGGTTCATCATGCAGGTAAAAAGTTCTGATGTGGTGACTTTCTTGGCCCCATTCCCAAGGGCTGACTGTATTGGCTTTGTTGAAATCTGCTTCTTTTCCTCTGGATCGCTTGTGATGATTATCAGTCGTTGAAGATCCATGTCCGAAACAGCCTTTTGAGAAAGCGAAGATACGAAACTGCCACCTGCAGCAGCCACAAGAACCTTCCATTCCTTATCGGGTGGGCTTTTGTTGCTGGCAACACCTCGGCACAGAAAAACCGACCATCCCGAGAGGACTTTCTTCTCATTACAGCGCAACTCTTCAGCTCTCTTAAGACTCGTTTGCATTGAGAATCCGTAGAGGGCCTCCGCCGTAGTATCAGTGAGATAAAAGTCCTTTGCTGGGAGAAACTCCTTGGCTTTGATGGACTCAGTCAACCAATTCAAACCAACTACAGCACTGTTGCACATCCCCACCATGAGCTTCACAGTTCGTTTCAAAGTTGATTTCTTATTCCTGGGGTCGCCGGCGATAACATGCGTAGCCCACTGTGCTTCATTCACATCCTCAATCAACTTACCACCCAGCTTCTTCAGCATCTGTGAAGGGAAACAAAACTGTCAGCCGCTGATGCTTAGTTTTCCAGTCAATGGCAAGTGACTTACGTTCTGCTGGGTCTTTGTCAATGAGACGCCAGTGATCATGACACTCACGTCCTTCACGTCCTCCTTCGCACGCTTGGTCTCCTTCTTCTCTTCCGTTTTGGTTGCCTTCCGTTTTCGGGCGCCCTTTGCTGGTGTCTTTGTCTCGGCTTCGTCCAAGTGCTTTTCGTCCTGCTCAGAAGCCTCACCCCGTTTCCACTTCTTGGTGGTGCTTTTGCTGCCTTCCTCCTTTCCTTCCTTCTCAGGTTCTTCTTCTGGTTCCGCTTTCACTGAAGCTTTGCGCTTGCGGGTGCTCTTCTTCGCTGCCTGCGTTTTTTTCTCCGGTGGAGCCGAAGAGGGGCTATCCTGCTCTTTCACTTTTTCGGATGGCTTTGGCTTTCGAGCACTCTTTCGGCCTGGTGCCTTTGTTTCAGGAGGAGCTGTTTCATCGGGGGCATCCTCATCATCTGCTGCATCTTGTACTTTTTTCGATGGCTTCGGCTTTCGGGCACTCTTTCGGCCCTGTGTCTTTGATTCAGCATCCTTTTCAGGAGGGACATCATCGTCGACGGGGGCGTCTTTTTCTTCCGTATTCTTTTCTTCTGCGTCCTTCGCCTTTTTGGATGGCTTCGGCTTTCGAGCACTCTTCCGGCATGGTGTCTTGGTTTCAGGAGATGCCTGCTGCACCGCATCGTTTGCTTTGGCGGGTGGTGTCTTCTCTTCCTCGTTGCTCTTCATGCCAGAGTCGTCCTGCTTTTCTGCGTCGTCCTCGTTGGCTGCTTGTTTTGTTGCCGACGGTGTCTCTTCTGCGTCGTTATCAGCTCCATTGTCGTTGTTGGGCTGTTGTGCCCTCTTCGCTGGGGCTGGTTCGTCGTCACCATCTGCACTTTCTTTCTCTTCCCCGTCTTTTCCTGCTTGATCGGTTGTTTCTTGCTCCTCTGTCGACTTCGCATCCTCCTTTTTCTCTTCCACATCGGGGTCGTCGTGCTTTTGCTCTTTGGTACTGTTGTCGTTGTCGTCAGTTCCTCCCTCTTGATGATGTCCTCTTTTCAAAGCCCGCCGTTGTCGTCCGGCTGCTGTTGGATCGTTTGAGCTTGAGCTCCCGGGAGAAGGAGCAGTAACATGTCGCAACGGTGGGGGCACAGGTTGGCTCCAATCATCAGGTTCGACATCGACCTTCGGGCCAAGCGTCACTTTGGAAAATTTGGTCTTTTTGGCTGGAGATTGCTTTTTTTGTTTGCCCTGCGCTGCCTTCAACTTGGACTCATCGTCGGAATTGACTTCTTCGTCCTCCTCTTCCTTTGCACTCTTTCTACCTTTCTTTGATTTGGTGACAGGCTCTCCTTTTTGTGGCACCGCGTCGGCATCGGACTCTTCTTCCTTTGGCTTCGTGCTCTTTCTGCTCCGTGGTTTAGTTGGCTCCTTCTTCGCGCTCTCGTCGGTCTTGGGATCATCTTCAATCGGTTCCACTTCCTCGTCCCTTTTCTTTTGCCTTGCGCTCCTTCGGGTTCTCTGTGCATTGGTTGGTTCGTCTCCTTTGCTGCTCTCGTCGACGTTGGCCTCTTCCTCTGTCGGTTCCTTTTTTGTAGCGCTCCTCGGGCTCCTCTTGGATTTGCTTGGCTCTTCTACAGCATCGCTTTCGTCGATCGGCTCCTCTTCGGTATTCTTTTGCTTTGCGCTCCTTCGGCTCCTCGCGGGTTTTGTCGACTCTTCCTTCTCTTTCTCTGCTTTGCTCTCGTCGACCCGCGCCTCTTCGTCGCCTTCCATCTTCTTCTGCCGTGGGCTGCGTCGGGTGCTCTTGGCTGGCTCCGACTGTTCCGGTTCTTCATTAGGGCGCTCTGGTTTAGAAGATGTGGTGTCTTTCTCTGCTGTGGGACCGTTGTCAGCCACGGTGGCGTCAGAGTCATCTTGGTCCTGCTCCCCTCCTACCTTTTGCTCTGCCGACGCCTCCTGATCACTCGCGCCGCTGCTTTTGGCTGATTTGTCGGGGTAAGCACATTGGTCCTTTTCCTCTCCGTTCTCCTGTTTTGGCTGTGCGGTGGAACTGTCCCGATTCGACGCATTTGCTTCTTGAGAGGATGCTGAAACTGACGTAGAACGCCGTTTTGAGCCATACTTCTTGCGGGCACTGTAGCGTGGGGACTCCCGAGAGTAGAAATTGTCGTGTTTGGCATTCGAATCATCCACATTCGATGCATCCTTCTCATCAACATCGCACTCTGTCTCGTCTTCCTTATCATCAGCTGCAGGAAAATCATCACCCGAAGCCTCCGTTTTGGCATTGTTGTCATTTCCTCCGGGCCCTTTTGCGGATTTGTCGTCGTGCTTGGCGTCAGGTGTCTTTTTGTCGGTCTCCAACACGGCGTCGCCGCCTCCTGTGCCCTTTGCAGGACTCTTGGGATTCGTCGAATCTTCCTTTCCATTCTGAGGCTTCTTGTCATCAGATTCGTCTACCTCATCTTCCATGCCCACCGTGGCATCGTCATCGTCGTCTTCCCCTGTCGGCTCCGTTTGATCACACTTGCCATTCTGATTGTTTTCCTTTGGCTTTGAGTCCCCGCCAGCTGACTCTTCCGCTTTGCCTGTATCTATCGGTTTCTTTGCTTCTGACTCTGCGGTAGGCGGTTCCTTTTCGTTCTGTTGCTCCTCATCGTTGTCGTCGCTTTTTTCGTCCTTGATCTTGGGTTTGGGAGCGCCACGAGTATTGGATACATCTTCCATTGTGGTTTCGTCTTGCTTGACCACTGTGATTTCCTTTGGCTTGACGTCTTTTGTCGTGTCTTTTTTGTTGCCATCATCATTGTCGTCGCCGCCAATGGTTGTACTGTCATCATCATCATTGTCTTTTTTATTCTCATCTTCACTTGGTTGAGTGCCCAGAAGATTGCCGTCATTGTTGTTCTTATTGTCACTTTGTTCTCCTTCCGAGTCGGAGGAATGTGCTAGCTTGAGTTGGAGCGTCGGGGCTTGGGTGTCAGGCTCTTCTTCCGAAAAAGATGTCGAATAGTTCTCCATTTCTGTAACTTCAGGTTTGGGGGGGTTGTTGTCGTTTGTGGTGTCCGTGCACTCTAGTTTGACAGGTTGCAGGCGATACTCCAGAACCAAGCCAACACCCCAAAAGGAATCTTCCTCGTCACTATCGGCGTTGTTGCCTTGTTGTGAAGGGGGTGATCGAGTACAGAGGCGATCCCCAGGCTGAAGGATTCGCAGCTGGCGACGAGGCAGGGCTTCCAATCGGCTGTAACCAGACCAAATCTCGTCTTGCTTGTCATTGGCCTTTTCGTCTATTGCGGCATTCTTATCGTCATTGTTGTCGTCATTGTCTTGTCGTCGCCGCGCCAAACAGATTTCAAAGGGTAAATGATCCAAATCTCCGTCGCGTCTCATGTCCTTGACGCCCACATGGATAGCACCAGCAAGAGAACTCTTGTCCACATCAATTGTCACAAAGTATTCTTCATTCGGATATTCCCTCACCTCATCAGCCTTTAGATTATCAGCTGGGAAGACCTGGTAAAAAGGGATGGATACGCCGGACCACTCGTCCTGAGTTTCAAACAAGGCGACATTGCTCTCGGCCTTCTCGGCCTTCATGACAAGACGCAGCCAATTCTGTTCCGTGGAAAATCGAGAACCGAAAGAGCAGCCGTAAGAATCACCGTCAAAATAACTCTACAGAACTCAATCTCGATACATATACTTACCTCTCCTGGCTGGGGTTCATACACATCACTGTTGGTGTTGCTTTTCTTGCTGTCATTGTCGCCCTCGTTATTTTCGCCAGCCTCGCTGTCCGAGCCGTTGTTGTTGTTGGATTCATCAAAGGAAGCTTTGCGCTGCACTGTGGTGTGGATCGGCACCAAGACAGGACCCAGCGGCGGCGCATCGCTCAATTGATCTTCTGTCTCGTCAGTCATCTTGATGGGTGCTCTCTCTTCTCTCTCAAGCAACCCAATGGATCTCTTGCCTTGATGATGATGGAGAGGTGAAAAAATCCTTTCGAAAAAGGAGATTAAGCCTGCAAGGATAGATAAAAGTGCTTTGGGAGAGAAAGAAAGCCCGAAGACCAAGTTTTCAAAATGCTCCGGAATTATGATGAGTGCCTTTTGCTTTTAAAATTAATAAAAGCTTTTGGTTCAAACCCAAAAGTTCGTGCCAACGAAGCATGTCTCCAACTTCAAACCACAAATCCCAAGTCCCCACCGCCGATGCGCTGTCTGTCCCAGCTTTGCCCCCTCGCTCTTAGTCTGTATTTGATTTTTACTCCTCCACAACAACTCCTCTTTGGCAGCCATGGAGTCCAAGAAAAGCAACAGCAACAACAACAGCATTGGTAGTGGCGCTCCTACCGCACCTGGAACTGCCACTGGAGCGAGTGCTCTTCTTACTTCTGGCCTGACGGCCTGATGACAACCTCCTTGATGGCCGAAGAAGTACTCAGCTTTTTGGACTTCAGATCTGTTTTGAGGTGCATGCAAGTCTCTCAGGTTGAGAATCAGTTTCAATTGACAAACTAATACTGCTCTCGTCATGGAAACAAGCTGGAATGTCAACAGGCTCTGCGAGAATATGTTTCGAAGAACTTCTGGGTGAAAGATGAAGAATACAACAATGACGATGGCAATCCTGCCAAGAAACAAGAAGACAGCAATGACGACGGCAATCATGCCAAGAAAAAAACAGAAAAAGATCGGATGCGATTTGTGCGTCCTCAACGAGAATGGGCTTGATCGCTGCCAATGTTGCAACAACTTTTTGGATCGTTGCGACGTGTACGCATGTCGCCAGCCTCAATGTGGCAAGAAGGCCTGCCAAGACTGCAAAGATTGTGACAACATGATGCTCGAGAGCTGTACAGATTGCCGCAAAACGGCTTGCGGGGATTGTGTACAACACGATTACGGTGACCATTGTGATGAGAGTTTCTGCCCCCTGCCGAAATCTTGTCCACTGCTCTGTTTGCCGTCAGCTTTGTGGATGTGAAAATTGTTCCGTTTTGTGCGAACGATGCGGGGAGGCTTATTGCATCGATTGCTGGTGTGGTTGTGATAGTACCGGTACGTACCGAGCACTTGTGTAAAGAAAAGAAAAGAAAAAGAGCGACTTTGAGCAGTGCCAGGAGAGCTCTCAGAGGGGCGATTGCTCAGATTGATTTGTAACATAAAAAGTGTGGGCTCTTTGGATGGGTTTTGATTATGCTGATGTCCTTGACCAATGTGTCACTTGGAGCAAAGGGACACACCAGGAGTTTTTGCTAGATTATTATTTTAGCTAGCTAGCGTCGCAATTGACTCTATTGTCCCCGTGTTTACTTCAACCGCCAGCTGATTTCCAAGCCTGTCTTCCCGGATCAAGCATTTTTCTGCGCATCAACACTCCACAAAACCTTGGCACCGTCGCCAGAGAGCTTGCAAGGCTGCTTGTAAAAAAAAACTGCCCGCTTGGCATGAGCTTTTGGTTTCCCCAAAAGTTGGTGCCAGAAGCATGTCTCCAACTTCAAACCAGCCACTTGCCGCGTTGCATCCATCCGATTTCCAAAAGGAAGGCGTGAAACATTGCGCTAGAGCAAAAAGGGGCTGGATTGTGGCTCTGGTAAAGAGTGCGTGTGTCAAGTGATTCCAGTACATCCTATTGATTTGGCACGGTACTGTACAGGAGTGCTACAATGCCAGATTTTTGTACCTGTCCTATGAGAACAAGAAGATATGTCGATCATCTCCTTGCAGTACTTACAATTCCGCTACTACAGTACGGAGTTATAGCTGCATCGAAGACTTCTGCTTCTCGATCTTCTTCACTTTTCGATCACACCCCCAACTTTTGTACAATTCGACTGCCTCGTCCAAATACTGCGTGGCCTTTTCTGATTGACCAACCTTGGACATGAAAGCTGCTGCTCTTTCGCAGGCAAAGGCTTGTTCGTGCGTAACACCGCGCCGCTGAGCGACAGCAATAGCCACTTCAAACTTTTCTAGCGCGAAATTCACCTTTCCCTTCGTTGCTGCCAACTCTGCTTCCAGTAAATTGATCTCGAATGACAGCACGGTTGGCGCCAAGCGAGAAAATGCACGAAGTTCCCGCAGGCAACCCTTTGCCCCCCGAATGTTAGGTTTGCCGCTAACCAAATGTGCCATTCCCTCAAAGAAAACCTGCATGAAGGCCATTGGTGCTGACATGTTCCACGCTTTCTTCAAGTCCCCGGAGAGTCTGGCGCACTCTGCAGCCACCTCAAACTCGCTGAGAAAGAAGGCTGTTATAGCTTTGGCCAAGTACAGAACCCCCAGCGCGAGCAAATTGTTGTCCTTCTTCGCAGCTGCAATGGCCTTGGCTTCGTCCATGAAGCTGCCCGTCAGAACCAATGCGTTCTCGCTCTTACCATATAGATTCGCCATGGCCTGCAGCATTGGTTGAAAGAGGGTAAGGACAACATTCTGCTCATGATGCACCAGCTGCTCACGAAATTCCACAGAAGCAAGGTAACAAGTGCGAAGGTCGACGCCCGTCTTAAATCGGTAAGTGACTGCAAGCGCGCGACCCATCATGGCATATTCCGTGTCTCCTGTGGCGAAGCTCAATTTATAGGCCGAATCCATAGCTGGTTGCAGTTCATCAAGGCGATTTTTCCAGGGTTTCACAAACGAGTTGACCGTGATCGCCACTCGCCCCGACCACTGCTTTGCATGGAACCGATCAATGATGCGAAGCGCAATGTCTCCGTAGTTATTTCCCTGGTCAATCTCACCAAAAAGGCAGAGATATCCAGCATAGAAGGAAAAAGCAACACCAGTCATAGCGCACAAACCATATTCGAGAGACATCTGGATTGCTCTGTAGGTTATCAACGTTGATCTGATGTCGTTGCTCCAAAATGCATAAGAGTAAAGTAGATTGAGTATCCTCATGCTCGCAAGTTTCTTGGGGTCTTTCATTGGAGGGAGATCCAGAAGCCTCCGCCCGGTATATTTTGACAACAGCCGTCTGGTTCGATAGTGCTCGAGGCGCATTGCCATCAAACTGAAGCTATCTGGAAGGGGCTCACCGAGCTGATCGAGTACTTTGACCCCTTCAGCGATTGCCTCTGAAAACCAGAGTGGGTAAACATAGAGCGAAGTGTCGCTGAGACGCCCTGCCACACAGAATATGATATGGCCAGCAGCAGCGGTGCTTACCTTCTAGTCTGTACCTTGACCCCAAGGCAAAAATATGAGTCGTATGACTCTCAATAGTGTCTTCGAAACACCTGGCATTGCGAAACACTTCCGTCGCAAGCTCTTCCAGCCGGTCAAACTTCACTCGTACGTAACAAATTTCAGCTCCAGCGTTGACCAGGCGCAGAGAGAGCTCGTAATTACCAGTCCACTTGGATTCCCCAAGCAAGCTCAACCCCGCGTCGATAAAGCCGCCTGCATCATCAAAGTTGCACTGTGAAGCTGACTTTTGTCCCGCACGCAGACAAAGAGCTGCAACCTCCTCTCGCTCCGGTTGTGAATTGATGAGTCGAGCACCGTGGACTAGATGACTTGTCACCAAGAGGAGATGCTTTTCAAGTTCTATTTTGCTCATTTTCTCGCGAAGACTCCGCCCAAGGGATAGATGGAACGCTTCCTTGCTTTCCTCAGGTATAAGCACGTAGGAAGCTTGTTGTAATCTGAGTGACAGTCAGTTGATGTCAGCGTGTGTGAGTGATGTCGTATTGTCATGCCATGTCTATATATATGTTTCCGCTACCTCACCTATCGTGCGCGAATCCCCACTCCGAGGTCGACAGACTGGTACTGGATGCCGCGAAGGTTGACTTTAACGAAAGGATTCCCTTTTTGGCACAGGATTCCACAAGATCCATGGTTGCGATACCATTGGAGGGAATCACAACATACTCTAGCAAATTCAATCCAAAGTTCACTCCAAGGCACGATGCGGATTGCAGCAAACTCTGTATTTCGGGAGATAACCGACGCAAGTTCGCCACAATGAAATGTAGCACATCGTCGCTTTTGGCTTGTTCCTCAAGTCGGGGCTTATCCAGCGATGCCATACCATCACGATGGACCTTGATCAACTTTTGATCGAGTAGATTGGCGAGGAACTGCTTGATAAAGAAAAAGTTTCCATCGGTTTGGTGGTACACCATCTTGGCAAGAGTGTCGATATCGGGTGGTTCCATTCCGGGAAAGACACTGACAAGGTAACATTGAACATCCGAGGCCGAAATGTTGGAGAGCACCACGTCCGTAATGGAGACCGTTTTGGAAAGATCTCGAATGAACCGAGCCAACTCATGGTCGCCATCGACGACACGGCATGCTCCTACCAGGAGAATTCCTTGCAAATCCTCCGCTGTGGTGGTCAACAGATCCCGGATGATTTGATAATCTCCCTTGCTGGCCCATTGAAGATCGTCCAAAAGAAGCACCAAGGGTCGTTTGGGACTGCAAATCCCCGACAGAAATTTCAAAAAGGCCCCACGTGTTCTGGACTGTAAGGTTGTCATGTCTTGCATCCATTCATTCGTCCGCGTATCGGAATCATCGTCCAGCTCTTGCGGGAACAATTCGGCCAGAGCGGGAATCATGTCGACCAAACATCGGGTATCTCGACCCAACGATTGCTTGAGAGATTGAACCAGCTCGTCGTCCTGGAGGAGCTTGTTGGAAGCATATTGGCCAATGGCGTTGGCAATCACATTTTGGGACTTTTGTTGGATCTGGTCAAACTTTCCAGATAAGAAATGCCCACCGGCTGCTTGGACTGGAAGTTGGAGGGAACAAGCCAGTGCCGTTTTGCCGGTGCCTGAAGTAAGTGAGCGGAATAATAGATGGACACTGAAGATTAGGAATGGTGACAGCGTTATAGCAGCACAAGCATGCATTGCACACTACAGTAATACCGTACCTGAATCCCCACTGATGAGAATGAGATTTCTGCCATTCGCCGAGGACCCTACTTGCTCCAAGGCGTCCAGAAGGATCTGCCTCTGGGAGGCTCTCGCGAAAAGAATATCTTCGGGGCCACCATCCTGTTTCATAGTCTCATCGTGATGCTTCTCGTGAAGCACCCACAATCTCCTATCTCATTCCTTGGCTAGTAGCTAGCTAGGTCCTGTACAAGGTGCTTCCTTTTTTTAAAACGGCACTGTTGCTGCTGTTCTTCCCAAGGCAAATGAGTAATTACGTCAACGGCAACGACGGAAAGGAGGTGAGGGAAAATGACGGTGAAGTTGTTTTTCTTTGGAGGCGATTGAGTGATGTGTTGACGTGCGTCTTGACATCATGCCAGGCCGAGTGTGCGCCCTTGTTAGCCTACGAGGCCCCTTCCTTACCAGACAGCCCACCCCGAATGAAGCCGACAACACGATCTTTCTCACTTTTTTATATGTATATTTTTGACGAAGATGCAGGCAGGCAATGGCAATCAGAGAGGTTCAGACTGCAGCTTGGCCATACTACCCATGAAGCAGAAGCAAACAAAGCAAGCAGCTAATGACGGTGCAGTTGAGGTATCTTTACAAGATGCCGCTAAAACACTCTCCCGTATCTTAGAGCAGCTTCAGTCCGAACACAGCAAGGATTCTGTGGCAGTGGCAGCTCAGCAACTTCAGAATGCCTTGGCTCTACAAGAAAAGGTAAATTCGATTGTATCCCAGGCAAATACCAATCTTACGCTTGCCCAGGAAGCACAGTCCTGTCTGCGGCATGAAGATATTTGGATCAACAATATCTTCCCTTTTCTTGGAATGGGGCAATTTGCCTTTGTTGCACCTGTCAGCCACAAAATGAAGAGGCTCTATAGAGTCTTCTGTGAATCTGTGGAGACTCCTCCAAAGATCAAGCAGTCGGATGATGATGACGATGGAGAACAGCTCTTGGCAACTCCTCCTCATACCTATTACAGTGCCGTTTTCTCCTCTCTGTCCCGTGCAAAGTACTGGTACACCCACTGGTACACCCACTGCTACCACCAAGCTGACAGTGGGATACTGATGGATCACAGTGGGGGACAGATCGATCATAATCGGCTGACTGATAGCAAGAGAGTCTGTGCTACAGCTGCAAGAGTTGGTAGTCTTCCGGTTCTAAAATGGGCCCTCGATACGGGATTTGAATGGGGTCCTCAGACATGTGCTACTGCTGCTTCCCATGGTCATTTGGACATCCTCAAATATGCCCATGAAAACAACTGTCCTTGGGATGAAGGCACATGCGAAAATGCTGCTCGAAAAGGTCATTTCAGAATCTTGAAATATGCCCATGAAAACAACTGTCCTTGGAATAGGCTCACATGTTCCCAGGCCGCTTTGAATGGCCATTTGGATATCCTCAAATATGCCCACGAAAAGGGATGTCTCTGGGATGAAGAAACATGCGCCGGTGCTGCTTCAAATGGCCATTTGGAAATCTTAAAGTACGCCCATGAAAATGGCTGTCCCTGGAATTGGCAAACAAGCACTGCTGCTGCTTTTAACAGCCGTGTGGATATCCTCAAATATGCACATGAAAATGGCTGTCCATGGAACCAACTCACATGCTATCAAGCTGCAGAAACTGGCAATTTGGAAGTGTTGAAATATTTGCACAGCAACAGTTGTCCATGGCATGAAGATACATGTTGCCATGCTGCTGGAAATGGTCATTTGGAAATCCTGAAGTATGCCCACGAAAATGGATGTCCCTGGGATGAAAACACATGTTGCCTTGCTGCTGAAAGTGGTCACTTGGAAATCCTGAAGTATGCCCATGAAAATGGATGTCCATGGGACCAACGCACATGTCATGCTGCTGCTCGGAATGGGCACTTTGAAATCATCAAGTATGCCCATGAAAACGATTGTCCATGGGATATGGACACATGCAATGCTGCTGCTCTGAGTGGCAATGTGGAACTTGTTAGATATGCCCATGAAAATGGCTGTCCATGGGACCATCACACATGTCGTCATGCTGCTGGATTTGGCCATCTGAAAATTCTGAAGTATGCTCATGACAACAACTGTCCCTGGGATGAACACACATGCAGCACTGCTGCCAGAAGTGGCCATTTGGAGGTGCTAAAGTTTGCTGTTGAAAATGGATGCCCATGGGATGCAAATACTTTATTGATGGTTGGCACCCCTCAGGTAAAGGCTTGGGTTGATGCGCATTTGTCTCAGAGTAATGCCCAAAGTGCAGGGTAGTGTCTTTACAGTGTTGGATATGCTCTTCGGTTGATGTGCCCGGAATTTGTTTTGCAATTAGGCTACCACTCTCTAATTATCTTTTATCTTTTCTCAACTGACTGGCGTTGTCCGGGATCTAGCTAGCCAGCTGGTACTTACCTAAAGAATATGCGCCACCACAGCATTTATAATGGAATGATGCAGGGGCCATGAGGTGCCATCTCTGTACTAAGTGCCGCAGCACAGCTTCCATACATAGATAGAACGAACCGGCAGGTCTGTATTTGAAACGGCTGGTCAGACCGGTGCGAAATACAGACCGACCGTTAACGCCAAGTCATGAAAAAATGCTACATCATCAAAAAAAACGTTGAAAACGTTCAGCGACCATATGTTAAAAATTTCGCTAGTACTTAAGCATAAGTAGGAGTCAACAGCAAATCAAGTACGATACAACTTGTTGCGTGCCAATTTTAGAAGGGTGCTCATTGTCGTACTATTTCAATGAAGCAACCCACTATAAATTGATCGCGGCAAGTTTGTGGAATATTGGAAAAAACCAATCGTTCCGATTTGTTCCGAGTAAATGATGTGCATCAATTTTAAAGCGTTGAATTCAATCGTAGAAAATTTCTCAATAAACCGTATCTTTCAGCAACAAATATGGTCTATCAATTTATAGTACGAAACTCATGACATAGAGCTGTTTTCAGAACTTGATGTTCCATTTTTGTTGCTGGCATTCGGGGTTCTTAGCTAACGGAAGCTTAAGAGAGGAGGAACGGCGTTGACACCAATGCGAAGGCTGAAATCGACCGATCGACCAAAGTTACTCCTTTCATTCCTCACTTCTGCTCTCATAATCTCCAACCAACAAAACTGAAAAGCGAATCTATGCAATTCCAGTACCAGAACCTACCGAGCGAAACCACCACCATTATACTCATTCCATCCATTTTGATAGCCACCATGATGAGGATTGTTGCCGGTACATTCTACACCATGGTTTGCCGCAGATTGTTGTGGGTTTGCATGTTGTGCGGGTGGTACCAGCGGGTATGCATGATGCCGTGGTGGTGGTGGTGGTGGTGGTATCTGACCCGGAGGAAATGGTGGATGGTATGGTGGTACACCCGGTGGTGGATATGATGGATAACCGTACGGATAGAGGAACACATACGGATTGATTGGAAGACCTGCAAGGGACGGGGCCGGAAGAGCATTAGGGGGAGGTCGATTCTCCTTGTTCTCCATTCTTTGACGGCGTCGTCGCTCGAGTTCTTGTCGTTCCGGATCTTGTTCACGCCGATATTCCTCTAACTCCTTTCTCTTCTCTGTATTTAGAGTACTCACACGCGGTTTCTTGGATGGCGGTGTGATATCCACTTCCAGTATCGCGGATGCCTTTCAAGCAGCGGGCTTTTGGTCATTGTCATCGATCGATACTCGACGGATACCTCCATGTCCAAGAGCATTGTACACGGTGGACTTTATGGCCAATGTGGTTTCGGTGTAGTGCTTTTGCGTATCGATACTCTTGTGTCCCATGTGTCGAGCAACTGCATGGGGATCAACACTCAACCCCTTCATGATGGTACCAGCTTTGGCTCTCAATGCATGACCGGAAGCTACTTTCTCCGCGTCCTGGACACCGATTTGGTCACAAAACTTCTGAATGATCTTGGAGTAGGCTACTGATTGTGACCGACATTTCCGGTATGCTGAGCGATGTCTGGATTGCATGGTTTGTACCAAACGTCATACTCCTTCACTGGTCTGGGATTGTCTGGGTGTTCTCTGTTCCAATCAATGTTCCGTTGCCGAAGTCTGGCGTTCTCTATCTTGGACTCCTTTACGGTGCATAAAAACCAACTGCATCTGGATGCATGTGCTCCACGTACACATCATGCCACTCGACCGGATCATATTCTTTTTGATATGAGCGCATGCATGGTCTTGATTCTATCGGGTTCCGGTGGAAGACTGGTGTTTCCAAACTCAAGCTGTTCTGTCTTGTTGAAGGGAATGAAGAATCCCCGCCATGGTATTCCGGGAAGATCCTCCTCACTGTCATCTTCAAGTTGATCAGAAGCCTCGTAGACTCTACTACGAAGATTGTCTTTTCGAGTCGCCGCATGATCTTGCTTTCCCCGGAAACACATGAACAAACCATCATTGAAGTGAACTCCCTCAAAGACATGTTGTCGATCCTTGATGGAAATCACGCCATCTCTTACCACTTTACAAACGAGTCCATAAATATCTTCATTGGTCCTCTTCTTCTCGCTATTGGTGCCAAACTTTGGGTCGATCTTCCTGTACTCAGCCCACCATTCCTTGACGACACCGTGGAATTGACCGGCCTCATTGAAGTCCTTGTCGAAGTCGAACATGATTCCTTTCTTTTTCAAGCGATTGAAGGTCCCTCGGAAGAATTGCTCCATGGAGTTGGGCTGGAATGGATGGCCTTTCGTGTTGTTTCTACCTGACTTCTTCTTCAAGTTCAATGCCACGATTATGCACACTTGGTTGAGTATGGCATGAGCCTTTTTGTCGCGTGTGTTACCAAGAACATTGAAGAACCAATAGTCCAAGGACTCTGCATCAATGGCATATCCATTGTATGCGACTGGAACCTTCACCAAGAGATCATGAAAAGCATCGCCACCATGTGTCCGGAGTTCTTCAAAGAAGCGTTTCTCATTCGATTGCTTTCGAGATTCAGTTTCTTTGGTGTTCTTAGCTCACTTGGTTCCTTTGATCAACTTCTGTTTGTCAGCTGGCAGCTTGGCGAATCCATTGTCTGCTTGTTGAAGAATTCTGTTGGCAATCTCACTGTCTTTTGGAGCCATTTGACGTACTGGTTGTACTGGAGGAGCTGTCTTTTTGTATGGGTTGTATGCGACGGAGAATGCGTTTGGGGCTGGGGGGAGTGTGGCCGCTGTGGTGGGATGGACAAAAGCACTAGGATCTTCAGAATTTTCTCCCAATTCCATATCCTGTGCGTGGAATCTCTCTGAAAGCCATTTTCTTGACATCATCAAGGGCTTTTTCTTTTCGAATCTCATTTGCAAGTTGAAGTTTCTCTTTCCGAGTGATAGTCTGCTTTGGTGGCGGGGCAGGGGCTGTTGTTGATGCAGCTGCAAGACCAAGGAGAAGATCTGCTCCAGCAAGTTGAGTTGAAGTAGGAGCCATGGTCGTCGTGGCGTCTTCAAATTCATGCTCTGCGCGATTCGCCGTGTTCTTCCAATCATCATCATTCTCAAATTTCACTTGAGTCAAGAGCTGTCTCGAAGGATGGAAAGGCTCACAGTTTCTGGTACCAACCACCATAGCTTCTCCTTGTGACACTTGATGATTGACTACTTGTGCCCTGGTCTGAGTGCCGGCGGGTTGAACTTGTTCTGGCGAGAGTTCTTCGTCGGAAGAATGAAGATTGAGTTGCTGTGACATGAGTGGAGTGCGACTGCTTGGTTTGGAGTCCTCTTCATCATCACTCTCTTCACTGCTACTAGAGTCAAAGTGCTTGACTACAGAATCTGCAGCATCAGGGTGTGACAGTCGCTGTTCATAGGACAAAGAAGAAGATGGTTTGTCTCGAACTGTCTCTTTCTCACTTCTTTCTTCCTCTTCTTCTTCTTCCTCCTCCTTGTTGTTTGCTAGTAATACTGCAGCTTATTGGGGAGTAATTTGGTTTTAGATTAAGCTGAAAAGCAAAAGTGAGGATTTTCTGGTGGTGCATAGCAATTCTTGTGATTGAATTGGATATAAGGACCCCCGCAACACTTTAGACCTAAAACTCCCTTGGTTCCTTGCATGATCATTTACATGCGAACCGGACTAGATGATTAATACACGAGTCAATAGTAAAGAGGTGTCAGGTATGTTTCCTCCAACACACTCCTGCACGGTGCCCTAAGTGGCTACCGTGGAACGAATAAAATAATTAGGCAATCAAACAAGGGGTGGATGCCCCATGATGAAAGCCCTGTGCTCATGGAAGAGCTTGCCCTGAAGGGGCTTCGTGAAAAAATCTCCACGCATCTCCAAGGTTGGGCAGTACACAACTCTAAGGTTGCCTTTCCAATCTGGTCATGAATAAAAAAGAAACGAATGTTGATAGCCCGAGTTCTTTTGCCCGAACTGCCTTTGCCATTCTCTGCAAGAATGATCGTGCTTTTGTTGTCCTGCATAAGGATGTTGTCCTTCACAACGATCCCCTGCTCTTCAAGGAACAACTTTGCCCACAACATGGGCGACATGACATCGTCAGCTCCAATCAATTCCGCTTCCGTGCTGCTCCTCGAATTCAATTTCTGTTTCGCAGACACAGACAGCACCGCACCACTTCCAAGGACATGACTCCTCCTGTATGGGAACGGTAATCAGGATGGACTGCAAATGATGCATCCACCCACCAAGTGATGATGCGTATGTCATCAATATGTAGGATCAACTTGTCCTGCGCCGTCTGATCCAAAAACTTGAGGCCTTGGACCAACTTGTCCCAATCATCAGATGTTGGCTTCTGACACGAGTGCATAACACAGTAGTGAGAGTTGCACATCTGGTCGAGCACGCTTGCACAGAAACAACAGCTTGGCTGCAAAGGTATGATAGGTTTCCCTGTTCTTGTATTCAGGATGGTGCCATCACCAGAGCTGAATAGGTCAGCAGGAGCTGCACTTGGTACCTTTTTCATTGCCCCAAAGTCCACTGGAAACTCTGAGATCATTTTCTTGACATAATCTATCATGTCAATACAGCATCACAAGCCTTTCCTGGGTCGGAAAAATCCACCGTCATCCCCAAGTAGTCATGCTTGGGACCAGGGTTGCCTTCACGGCTCCATAGGTTCCATACCTAGCGTTGAACCATTCCAGAGTTTGGTTGTTCACCAACTTCATTCTGTGGCTTGACATTAGGTCGTCAACATGGAAATCGGTATTGTTTGTTGGTACCCCTCGATCATGCGGTTGGCCACACAAGGATCGATTTGTTGAACACAAATCCAATTTGTTCGAGGTCGCTCCTGAAGAGCTTGTACCAGAGTAAGCTGCCAAAACCATTCCGTAGATGGCTCTTTCCACAACGACATAGAGGACTGGTCGTTCCCTTCTTGTATGTCAGGAAAGAGGCATATGTGTCAGGATCAATTTCGACAAGTAAGTCTGCAAGGGTTCCCTCAATGATCATGAGGACCCTGTCTTCACCTTGTTTGACTTTTGGCATTGGGGTTTGGATGAACGCATTGGGAACATCCAGGGACATCACATCCCTATCTTCAGATGCATCGATACACATGGATAACATCAAACCCTCAAGTGAAACTGTTGGACTTCTGGCATCTCTTTCTGATGGTACACCCTTGTAGGTTTCCCATTGTAGACTGCACGGGCCTTGACCGTGCCATCCCTTTTCTCACTCACAAACATGAGTGCCATTTGTGCCTTTTTTCAAATTCAGAATCACTGCATTGTTTGGGTCGACTGGATGAACACACTCTGCTGTGGTAGCTGGTCCATCTCTTTGAGCGCCGCTTTCTGGCTTTGTTGCCCCACACTTTCAGAGCCCTTGGGTAGAAGATGTTGTTGGCATGGCTGCTCTCATCCTGACTTCTGCTGTGGCACTCCTGTGATTACAGAAGTCCATGAACAAAGCTAGATTTTGGCTTGTCTCTGTCTCATACAGTAGTGGTTGCTTCGCTTCGTCATCTTGGGCGAAGGTGACTCTTTCTTTGCTTCGGCTGTGGCGATCCGAGCGAGCGTCTAATTCCAACTCGAGGAAGCTGGGAAGCCTTGGCTGGTCCAGCGAGGTTTCCATCATTGGTATCCACTCCTGGTGCCGTCTCTTCACTGTAGGGTTGTCTGGACTTGTGCTGTTGGGATTCCTTGGAATCCCTTTCTCCTTCTTCATCGGAGCAATGTCTGTGGCATACTGTTTGGATGCCCTTGTACTAGCCCTGGGGCGTTCCCATCCTCAGAATCTTCATCTGATTTCCGTGGATTCCACTGAACTTCGTCCGAAGAGTCTCCATAGACTTGGAGGTAGCTCTCATTTCCATTGACACCATCCACTCCTGCAGGCAACCTAAGGTAAAAATTCCACAAGAGTCCGTTTGTGAAAGATTAGTGGTTTCTTGCCCTCACCGTATGCCTTCTTTTCGACAGCATAATGACTGGCGAGGCATCGGCAGAGATGCGGACATGCTGTCGCGTGATCACCTCAAAGGTGACGAGGTCCATCACACTGTGTCCACCTTGGTGGTTGTCCATCATGGACGGAGTAGATGCAATCCAATCCCGGGGCTCCATGGAATTGAGCTTGTCTGGTTCGTTGGAAGCGAGACATAAGC